GGGGGGAACAGGAGACTCACGTTGCAGTAGATGCCGAGTTTCAGGTCCTGTGCAAACGCCAGGCCTTTGATGCCAGAGATGTAGCCGAGGTTGAAGAACCAAATATTAGCTAGCACCTTGCCCTCCCAGATGTATCCTGCAATGATGCGACAAAAGATGTCAATCTGAATCTTCATGTTTGTTGTTGCGTAGACCCAGGCAAGCTGCACTCAACGCATTAATACCTCTTGGTACGTGCAACGCGTGCATCTTGAGGAGAGCGACTTACAGGGACAAAGAAAATGGCAGACACTGAAAATGACAGGATTACCCCATACCAGCGAAGCTGAACCGGATAGAACTCGCAAGCAAACACCCCAAAGCCCAGAGCAAGAAGCGCAGCCACCCAGTACCACCATAGCGGTACGGCCTTGTATCCTGGCTGGGGGTTGTGTCTCGGAATGATCTTTCCCCCGAAGAGAGCAGAAAGCTGAGTGGAGCTGAAAGCAGCCGCGATATGTCTACGTTTCTCGAGAAACAGCCAGACGAAGAGTGAGGCGATTGTTGCAAAGGAGAGACCAAAGGTGTTTAGGGCATAGGTGATGGGGAGGTAGATCTAGTCAGAAATGTGCAGGTCAGGATGTATACCATCACGAATTAAGGAAATTGAAGGTGCGTTTCCCTTACGTCTGAATAGTTTGCGTACTTGACAGGGTCGAAAGTGAATCCGTCCTTCTTATTGATAACCTTGGAGACATTGAATGTCTTTCCCAAGTTATCATAGATGGAGTTGCTTTGGATGGGCAAATAGGCTGATTCCCAAGTGTTTGAGTAGTAAAGCGCTGGAGAAATGATGTAGATCCAGAATACCAGTGATGCCAGGATATTGAGAATCGCCCACGTGGGCACCACAAGCGGAGAACCAATGTATGCAATTTGGCTCCCTAGCTAGGGTTCAGAATCAATGAATTCCACAAGGCCCAAGGTGGGGGAGTCTGCTTACAGTCGAACGTGAATGGAAACAAACCGATGCCGCTCTTCATGCCAAACACTTGATTGACAACCGCATTTTGCGGAGCGATCCAGCAGACCCAGGTGAAGTAGCCCAGTGCTGGGAAGATGAAGTCTGGGAGCCAATACCAGCAAAAGGAGGCAATGAAGGCGAGCATGAAGAACTTGTAGCGAGAGGTGGTCCATTTTGCCCTTGTGCGCCAACGGGTTAGAGATGTTCCAGATGAAATGATTGTGTGCTTCGAAGAGAGTGCGCTTACTCATTCTCGTCCTCTCTCTTGCCGGAGTGCAGTGCGGCATTGAGAGCCGTGTTCCCAAGCACACCGGGCCACAGCAAGCCCGGAGGCTCAACGACCAAGGCATAGCATAATCCAGCCAAAGCGAAGCCATAGAGAATCGTGGCCAACGTAACAGTAAGTTCAAATCCCCATCCGGCCTTCAGTCCGTAAAACACGCGCTGCTCGGTCAACACGTCGGCGCTCAGCCGGGTCAGGAAGCTGAGATTGGCCATGACATAGACCAGGATGTTTTCCTACAAGACGGCCCGCGTGTTAGCGCTAGGATGCCATGGGGCTAGAGCACCAGGGAAAATGCCGACCTTGTAATTGAACGGGCCCGGGTTCAGGCTGACGCGGTGGCCTCTGATGTTGAACCCCCAGTCGGGAATGACAACCTCCCAGGCTTTGCCGACGGGGTAGGCCAGGAATTGGATGGCTGACTGGGAGAGACTGATGGACGGGAATCGGAACGTGTACAAGGTGTTGACACCGCTACCGAGTAAACAGAACCCAATACCAATTATCCACATCCGAAGAGTCAGGCAAGGCAAGGAAGGATCATCGGGTCTTAGACCAACTCCAGCGGCGTACAAGACATCTCGGCTCGGGGCAGACGACTCGTCTAAGTTTAGTTAGAGAGGCATTAGCCTGGTAAAAAAATTTTTCTGTTAATCGCACCTGAAGCACGCTTAGCTTCCTCAACCGATGTCGTCGGAGTCACAGGGTCTGGCGCAACGTCCGCGATGTCCGCCCCCTCGATGGCGGTCTTTTGGTTCGCCTCGGCGTTGGCCATGTTCAGTCAGTTGTCGAGGAAAGCGTCCACATGCACGGTGAACACGAGATTATCAAGATTAGATCAGATTAGATGCGACGACATATAGTCAGACATTTATACTTCCCGCTCAAAGCTTGGACTTCGGGGCCTCCGCGTCCAAGACGGCACTCGGCGGCGCCAGAGTGGGAAGGGGTCCACATGCGCGGTGCCGTGACTCCGGCCGCTGGCGTCAGGTGGGAGAATCTGTGACTGATACTGCGGGCTATATTTGAGATTTTGAGTTGGCCTCGGAAAAAGCTCCGATCATGAGAGGCAGATGGCCAACCATCTTTGGGATTGTAACGAAAGAGGGATAAGAAAAAACGGAATTCCGCAACGTTGGATGTATTATCAATCCATGGCACTGTGAACGCGGGAGCCTCCATCCATGGCCTCATAGGGCTAAACGAGTGCCTTTTGCAGTGGCGCTAATAAGGATCCTGACACCGCCCGGGCCGAGGAGTCGTTGAGGCGACGGGGATGCGGCCTCAAGATGAGATGGATTTCTCCACTGTTTAGATCTCGTCGTCCATTCAAAAACCAGTATGTAGTCAAGAATTGCATTCATGGTCAACGCTCTCTGGCTATTTCTCCCTTTCGCAAGCTTAAGCATCCTGACAAATCAGCAGTGGTGGTGGTTAAAGTTCTATTGACATTGGAGGGTATGGATACTGGGAGCTTACTCAACCCAAGGAGGAGATCTCGTATTGGTTTCTGAGATTCTGCATCGCCGAGCTTCCGATGAATTTCGTTCAAAATTGTGACCACATGCAGTTCACGCAAACAGTCAAGTCGTCATTCACAGCTCGACCGTAGACAACTAAAATGTCTGCATCAAAAACACCCAGGAAGACATCGTGGGCCTTTCTTTACACACATTGCACTCAGAACGAGCTTCCCGGCTGCCTATCCAGCACTATGCCCGATACGGCCTCACATTGGAGCCAGACACCAAAACCATACGATTCCATGAGGGGCTCACCAATCACAACATAACCAGCCGGTTTATCGACGGCCCGTGGTGGTGGGACATTTTCTAGACGCACAAAAAGAAATTGAGGGAGAAGGACCTGCAGTTTCTTGCTCTTACCCTTCCTCCCCGAGCTCTACCCGACCAACCCACCCAATCTTTGCCGGTTTAACCCGCGGCCAAGCTCCGTCGATCTCGAATAGGCCGAATTATCGGCCACCATGGACACATTTAGCCGCTCGTGGGGCCCCTCCAACCCAGACGTCCGCATGCATGCATGGCTCCTCGCACCTCTCCACTTCGTTCTCTGAAATCGGTAACTGCAAAAGTCCTACAGGTTTTTGAGTGGCCCCCCATCCGTACGGCCGTTCTAATCGAGCTTTCGGAGTTGACTTGGACGAACTTCTGCAGTTTGCAATCGTGAACCCCATGAGCAAAGTGGGGATTTAGCTACGGTTACTTCTTGGCTCTTATTTTTGGAGGAGCAGAATGGGTCGTTAGGTCTCTGTCAATATTAAGCTCACAGCGCCAAGACGGCATCGCACAGGTCCGGAGCACTTCATCTCCATCCGTTGTTGGTTCGTTGCAAGGGACGACACTGTGCTTTCAGCTCGCATCTCGGCGTCTCCATCCAGTCCCAACCACAGTGCCTTAGACCTCCAGTCATCCGATTGAAGCTTTCAGCCTATGAATAGAATATTGTGGGTCACTTAGATCATGCTGGGCGTGAGCGCTGGGGAAGGATGGTATCCAGTGCACCCTTGTTCATAAATTTGTGACCATTTAATTGAAGCTCTGATGATCCAGTCCGACATTCTCATCTTCCTTAGGCCACACTTCACAAGCTTTCAGAACCCTCCTCCTTAAAATTAAGGAGGTCGGAGCCGCGGTAAATTCATCATTGCCGCTCCTTTTATGCTCTGAGTTTCGTGGCTGGTAGGAGAATTGGGTGATGGTGTTGCTGGTTGGACGGGGTTAATGTTGTCTCGGTTGACCGAATACTGCAAAGACTGGCCAAGTGACAGAACATTATATGTACCTTCAATGCTTAACCACATCTGGGAAGCTTCTCTTGTGTGTGTATGTGGCACAACAGTATAAGTCCGACACCAAGCAAGGTCGCTATTTTCTTGGGAATGGTGAGCGTAACGTCACGCGACCTAATACAACGACATCCCTCCGGATCAACTTCACTAGTGCGAAATTTGGACTATGATGGGAATAATTCTCTATTACTAGAGCAGTTTTGGTGCAAAATGTTAAAGATGGCGAATGGCGACCGATGCGTGATATTTGAAGTCATTTACCTGACGACGCAAACTAACCTTGGCTCGGACCTCACGCATGTGCGATTGCGATGAACCCCAGGTTTTGTGCGACTCAGCTTGGACGCAATTTCGCTATATCCATGATAGGAGAGCAGTCCTTATCAAATCCAGGCTTGAAGCATAATATTTTAATAAAAGAAGGGGCTATGGGATAGCGATTTAGAAGCAGTATGTACATCGCGGTATTATTAAAAGTCGTCCGCATCAACTTTTTAAACCTTCAAGGAAGCGGGAAAATGACCCGTCTACACTAAATGTTTCTGCAAGGAACTAATGGCATCATTAATCAACGGAGAAAGACCGGACCGTCCTCGAGTAACCCTTAGAAACAGCGCTTACCAGGAGAGGAGAAAAGAAAGGTCATCGGCAAGAGAGACGACGAATTGATGTGATCGAGAAGGATGCAATTGACGTTATAGGGTCCAAAATGCATGGTGATGTGCACCTGAAGTGAGCAAGAGGGAACGGACATGTTGAGCGAGGGCTTTCGAGGGTCTTGTAAGACTGGGTTGTCGAAGGTAGGTGCTTGGAGCTATGGAAGCTTCCCAGCACTGAGGGAGAGCGCGAGGTTTAGACAGAGGAAAGAGCCTGGTATGGGAACTCTCGCAACAGGTTTGATAGAGTATAATAGGAAAGTGCGCTCGTAGGTGCAGGGGAAGTGGACAGCAGAAAGCGAAGGAAGAGCGGAAAGTAGAAGACACCATCATGAATCTCGACCAAACCACTCATTCCGCAACTACCTATGAGCCCCTCTGCTGCTAGAGGCTTCTTCTGCAAGAGCTGACTCTTGCCTGGCTCCCCTCGCATGTTCTGTCCTTTTGCGTCTCATGTCGACGGCGTGCCCTTTCCCTTGGATCTATGGGACCCACTATCCTCTTTGGCCGGGTTTCTTCCTTCCCTTCCCTGGGCCATACTACTTTTTTGTTTTGGGTAGGTTTGTGCCTTCTCTCCCTTCCCGTTGCACTAAAAAGACTCGGGAACAACAATCTGCCACTGCACTTACCGAGCATGTGTGTGTGAAGTGCCCCATCCCAGGAGGTCGAGACCTTCCAGGTTAGAACATGTGACCAAATACCTGCACTTACCGAGCAAGGAAGTCATAAACAACATAAGCAGTCTCGAACACTGCGTCTTTCTCTCCTGGTCTGGGCCCAGCTCATTCGAGAAACCCAGCTCCTTCTCGTTTGCGGGATTGCAACATACATCCGGACCAGTCCAACAGGAACGAGGCGCACCGTACCTGTCCCGCAAGTCAGTTGCACGTCAGGTCGCATGACGTGACTCGTCCTGTCGACGAGTACTTAATGCCCGACTCTCACCTTTTTTCTCCTCCTCTTCTTCTTTTCTCCATGCTCTCTTTGGTTGGCTTCTTCTGGGGCTAGTCCCTGGACTTGGAGCAGGACCACCGCTTGGTCGTGGATGAGATCTGCGCGATGTTTTCTATTGTCAAGGGGCATCCTGTTTGCTTCCCCATGGCATCTGGGTGTCTGTGTGTACAATTTTTGTAACCCTACTGGGGTGGTGCGCTTGGTATTACACTACCTCCAAGTTGCGTCGCTTCCAAACCTCTCGTTTTTTTCATTGGGATCTGGGCCTTGAGCCGGGACTTGAAGAAGAAACATCCTTCGATTGTAGTCATAGGTCGCTGCGTGAGTCGGGGAGTCGGGCGGAGTCGGGATCAGGATATCATCGCAGCCATCATGATGGCTGTTCGCGTTCATTGTATTCCCTTAGAATTGAAATTGTCCTGCAAGCAAAGCCTGGGATAATCCAATTGATGCTCGTGGATATCGCGACGGTATTCAACCTACACACCACGCAACACCGCGGTAGGCCCCGTTTGAGTAGGTATTATCAAGCAAGCGACTCGTGGGATTCTGCAAGGCGAGGTGCCGCCACTAGAAATCTGCTGCTAAAAGCCTCAGGCAATCTTAGAAATGATGCCTCCTGTACCTTACACCAGGACTGTTAATCTTAAGCTACAGCGTCGTGGACCAGAAGCGAGTGTTGCCGTGGCTGGACTTCAGGCAATGTCGGGGGGCAACGTTGGTGAGATAAGGTCAGCCGAAGGCCGTCATAACGGCGAAAATGCAGATGTATTAACGTAAGTCGTTGTTGTTGTAGCTAAAGGGCGAAAGAGGCCTCTGGGAGAGATGTGTCGAGGTCAAAGGTGTGCTGAGGCAGGGTACGTGAGGCTCTGTCGTCCCACCGCAGTCGCCCAAGCCACATTGGGAATGGGGTATATATATTCAAAAGTAGGCCAAAACTTCGCCTGCGGGCATGCATCCGCCAAAGAGAGTAGGTGGTCTGTTCTGAAACTCTTTTTGCCAACTTTTCAAAGGTCATGGGTTCGAATCACACATCCTTCGGCTTTTTTTCCCCTTCCTACTAAAAAGGAATAATTCTTTTTAATTTATAAACTTAATAACTTTTCTCTTTCCTTTTTATTTATTTTCTATTCTAAAGGCATATTAATACTATTTATTTACCTTATTCACCCTAAGCTCCCCCAAACTTAAGGTAGCTGGGTGAGGCGATTGCACCTGGACGTCATAGTGGGCTCAGTGCTACCTCTAGCAGAGTAATTGGAGCATTCTCCAGCTCCATTTCTCGAAACTGCACATTGCAATTCATCTTCTGCGGTTTTTCAAGATGTCGTGCTGCCTGTGGGTTGCAATGGTTTGGCGCGTGAAAAATGCTCATTTTTTATAGTCCTCAAGTCGGGGTCCTGTGCCGTTTTTGTTCCCTTGAGTCAGTAGGCTTGTGAGAAGTTTCCCTCGGAGTACGTCGTGATAAAACCGACATTTGACGGCGATGCACATTACCTCCGATCCAGTCAGGATTGAAGCTACGAGGCAACGGCCCGGGGCGCTTGTGGCAAGACTAAATGATTTTTTCCCCTTCTTGATCGGAATCGGCCAAGAATGCCTGGATACACAGCTTCTCTTGTCGTGGTCCATGAGTTATTTGTCCCCCCCTCGGGAACTGACCGTTCGGGGTATTTTCCTCTTCCAGTAACTTGCTCGGTTGGTTCGTACTTCTTACCTGTCGAAGGATGTTCCCATAAACCCACATCGCTCAGGTGTCAGTCGAGAACTGCCGCCGCTATCAATATCGGCCAGTGATGATTTGGGCAATTGTCCTGGTCGGTCAGCGCGCCCCTGTTGACATTCAGGTTTTGCATTGACGGCTGAGGGACTCAATATCGCTTGTTCGTCCGCAACGAGGCCCGATCGTTGAGACCTCGCGCACCGCTTTTGCGCCAGCAAGGCTTTTGGACACATAGAAAATTCTATTTTATTGAAAGCATCGTTCAAAATAACTCAAACCAACAGAACAGCCACACCAGAGACATCAGACACAACGCGCCGCGTCAGCTACCCTCAACCCACCATGACGTCCTCATCTATGACTCGACCCCTCGAGATGGATAACGGCACAGCAATAACGGCACATCATGCCGGAGTCCTGGCAATAACTCGGACGCAGCAGCCGTTCCTCGCCGACCGTGGCCCGCGATCGGCGGAATGGCCCTGATGTGGCCCGAGGTACATGATAATCTTCTCTCCGGGACAAAGCCAGGCCTACGGATCAAGACACCAGCAGATCATCGCATGGTCCCATAGCTTCTCGTTTTTTGAATCTAGTCCACTACGGGTGCTCATCACTACCTAGACAGACAGTAGACGAGCAGGAGGCGAAATCCAGAGTGCGACCGACAGGACACCATCACCGCCTTGGCTTCGCACTGCTCACTGCTTGATCCCACTTGCCGCGATGTGCATCCTGGCCCACCTTGTTCGCATGGATGGCGCCGAGTTTTTGGATTTTTCCTTTCACGAGAAGGATCCTTGATTGGCCGCACCGAGGTGACAGACTACTTTCTGCAAGGATGCTTGTGGTGTCACTCCAGCACTGACCGACGGGATATGACCATTCGATCGTTCATGGATTGTGAGCCCGCTTGAAAGTGGGGGTTTAGCTTAGCTTACGGATATGTGAACCCATGCTTTCAGCGATGCTCCCTGCATGCCAAGTGTTGAGGGAAAAAAAAACCCTCTCTGCCACCAACAGCTGTGCCGCAAACTTGAAGAGAAGTACTTGCTCTGAGAGCTTGCCCAGCGGTGGGACGAGAAGGGCCACTGAGCAGACGAAATTTTCGGGAGGCGTTCGATGGTCTAAACAATTGGAAGTGCCTCATGAAGGGGGGCACGTACGAGCTCCCGAGACACATGAAGCAGGCTGGAAATGGTATCTGGAGAGGAAGTTTACCTTTTCCCGCGCACCCACCTGCAACGTCGACCTTGGACACGGCGGCCGGCCACATGTAGCAACGTAGCAACTGGGGGACTTGGAGATATTCTTGTGAGGTGTGAGTGACCAGGAACCATAAACCACTCGCTCCACCCCCACCACCACGTTGGCGGCCCGACCAGACACGATGGATCAAGGAGCTCTCCAAGTACCCGAGTGGCAGAGACAGATCCTTCACTTGCTCAGGGCCTACACACCCTTTCACGCCACTTTTCTTCTCGAATTTTTGCTGCCTGTACCAATGATGGTCGGACCAGCCAACGGATTGGCTGATCCCTTTACTTTCTGGTCTAAACCGGCCCATCCATAACGATCCATTTACCTGGGCATTCCACAGGACGGAGTCGCAATGAGGGCCCAGCCAGCTACGCGGCCTCCGACCTAAAGCTGTCCGGCCTGGGCGATCCCACTACGCTAGCACGAACCTAACCATACCTCCGATGGGCCCCAAGGTTTGATTCGCCCCTTGCCATCTAATCTGATCATCTGATAAAGACAAAGATTGGGCGACATCGGCTGGAGATTTTCATGGGTTTTGGGGACGGAGGGGGCTCCATCTGCCAATATAGAAAGGCCCGCATAGAACCTCTTGTTTTCGATCTGAATTTTTTCCTCCCTCTTTCTTCTGGTTCTTTAAGCAAAGGTCAAACAGGCATTCGCCTTCAATATACTATTCCTTCTTGCCAACAGCTTCCCCCTTTCCCCAGTGCACCCTCCTAAAAACCCTGTTCGTTGGGTTTTTCGATTGTGGCACCCGTCGCCTTTTCCTCGCGACCGATAATCAACAATGGCATCCATCGAGCCGCAGACGGACCGCCATGCAGAGGCTGGCACCGACTACGAGAAGAACATTGCCTTCGACAAGGGCCTCAGAGAGGTCAGCCATGAGAACAAGGAGGAGTCTGACGCCGAGAGCGAGAATTTCCAGGGTGGTGTTCAGCGTGTCAGAGCCATCACCTCTGTCTGGACAAAGAAGACCATGATTCTCATGTTCTGCCTGTGAGTAATTGACCCGTGCTTTTCCTTTCTTTTCCTTTCTTTTTGGCATCCTAGAATATCTACGTGGCGGAAGGCTGACTTGTATTCGTTCTAAAAAGGCTCTACCTCGTCTCCTTCGCCGATTTGCTTCTGCAGTCCGTTCAGGGCAGTCTGAATGCCTTCGTCACATCCTCCTTTGGAAAGCACGGTCTTCTGGCCATCGTCAGCATTTTCGCTACCATCCTGTCAGGATGCTGCCAGCTTGTCATCGCCAAGATTATCGATATCTGGGGTCGTTCCGAGGGTTTCGCCATCATGATCCTGTGCTCTGTCGTCGGTATGATCATGAAGGCAACCTGCAAGAACATGGAGACCTACGTTGCCGCCCACACCATCTACTACGTTGGCCACTATGGTATGGTGTTCGTCATTGACATCATGATCGCTGATATGACGTCCCTGCAAAACCGTATGATCATGGTCGGTATCAATGGAACTCCCTCCATTGCCGTCACCTTCGCCGGTCCCAAGATTGCCGACCTCTTCTACGACAACCTCAACTTCCGCTGGGCCTTTGGCGCCTTCGCCATCATCCTTGCTGGCGTCTGCATTCCCGCCCTGACAATTATGCTGCTCATGCAGCGCAAGGCTGAGAAAGCTGGTTTCTTGGCCAAGGCCAAGTCCAACGAGCGTACCTACCTCCAGGGCTTCATTTACTACTTGGTTCAGTTCGACAGTAAGTTTCCCGCCCTCGCTTAACAAGAATTACGCTCTAAACGTCTTTTTTACTCAGTCATGGCCATCGTTCTCATCATCGGCATGTTCTCCATGATCATGCTGCCCTTCAGCATCATCTCCTACGCCCCGAACGGCTGGAAGACCCCCTACATCATCGCCATGGAGGTTGTCGGAGTTGTTCTTATCCCGATCATCTACATCTGGGAGAAGTACTGCGCCCCTGTCAGCTTCATCGACTACAAGTACCTTAAGGAGCCGACTCTGATTGGAGCTTTCCTTCTCTATGGCATCATGTTCATTTCCATCTTGTAAGTGCAATCTTTGAGAGCCATGTGCTGTGATCAAGTGACTAACTGGAGCTTCACAGCACTTGGGATACCTACTACCAGTCTTATCTCCTGGTTGTTCACAGACAGAACATTACCTACGCCGGATACATCCTGAACGCCTTCTCCCTGACCTCGTCTTTCTTCGGTCCCCTTTTCGGAGTGATCATCAGATGGTCCGGTGACTACAAGTACACCGCGCTCGCCGGTGTCCCCTTCATGCTCCTGGGTACCGCTCTCCTGATTCCCTTCCGAAAGCCCAGCACACCCGTCGGAGCCCTTGTCGTAATGCAGATGCTCAACGGTATCGGCACCGGTCTCTTCGCCGCCTGCGGTCAGATCGCCGTCATGGCCATCGTCACCCACCAGGAGATTGCGTCCGCCCTGGCCATCTACAATCTCTTTGGTAGCATCGGTTCGTCCATCGGTTTCGCCATCGCCGGTGGTCTGTGGAACAACATCTTCCCCGAAGACCTGTACAGGAACCTCCCCGAGGACGCCAAGAACAGAACCGCCGAGATCTTTGGCTCCGTCGACGTCCAAATGTCCTTTGCGGACGGCGACCCCATCCGCGACGCCATCGTTGCCGCCTACGCCGATGTGCAGCACAAGATGGTCATTGCCGGTTCTTGCTTGGTTCCTCTCTGCCTCGCCTCTATCCTCCTCTGGAAGCACATCAACATCAAGAAGCTCGAGGGCGAGAAGGGCACCCAGACCAAGGGCAACGTTTTCTAGACGAGCTCGTTTACTTTGATTACCCCGGTACAACCCAAGTCCGCATGGACATATTCTCGTCATGTGTTTCTAGCCAAACGGCAGGGACAAGCATTGCGGACTACCCATACCCTTATCCGCATGTTCAGAACCTGCTAAAAACCAATGTGCTTCAATCTTTCTTGGTTGGACTCGATAAAAGTACTTAATTGCATGGGCCGGCCTCTAGAGAGAGGACCCGACACGTAATCTTTTTCAATATCACACTCTTATGAAGTACCATGTCGCTGCTTGCCGTTTGCTGTGCAAATGCATTTCGTTGACCTTCGCCAAATTCCGTGCCTTGATGTATGAAGATGAGCCCTGACCTACCTCAACTTAATATTAGTCTGGCTGCATGCGCTGTTTAATTGATCCCGCCGACTGCAATAGTGCCGCTGGTACGTTGTTTGAGCAAGAAACGCTCGGATTTAAGGCTTGCCGTGTCGGTCAGCGTAATCCCCGAAACTTGGCCAGGTGGGCGAATTGCCGCGGACAGGAACAAAGCTAGTTGAATAATGCAGCAATCTTGCCCGATCGTTCAACCGTGTCTGTGGCCCCCGGACGACACATGTACACGCCTGGCGTGAGGCTGCGCATCCTTTGCATCTCTTTTCGCGAGTCTACATGCCTCATGTCTCGCGTCATATACACGCTCCAAATATCCGCCAGCTTGTGGAATCGATGTACGAGGTAATTTTCTTGTGGTTTTCAAACGTGACCTCAGATAGTGTAGTCCACAAACCTTTGTAAGCGGAGTCCGAACTCCGTTCTGCGTCGGAGCAAATAGGACGCCCCACTATCTTTGATCCAGCCGCCGCCGTAACAGGGCGAGCCAAGGCTCATGCTACATTGGGTAGGTAGTGTGAGCAGGGTAAGCCAGGCAGTTTTGCAGAAAACCGAGTTATCGACATCTACATGACTGTAACAGGTGCAAGTGGAAAGAGGTGAATTAGGCACTGTGTTGTCTGGTACTAGCGAATAAGAACGGAACGAGGAGGCGTGAAATCTTTCCGTTTCTGTCTCTCATCCGCGCGTCTACGAGCGTGCTCGACTGTGGGCATAGCATCTGCGAGACTTATCTGCGCTAAGGTGGCGTACAAGACGTTGCTTGTAAATTCCTTGTCAGGAAATGGCCAGCATGCAACAAATCCATTGAGAGCTACTTCAGGGTGAAACCACCCACGGCGGCAGCCCGAGTGTTAATACCTCCAAGCTCGTGAGAAAACGCCAGTGTCTTCCTTGAAAGTCCCCGAAGTAGACTGTACGGACCGCTGTGTGACTATTTCGATGTGGTTTTGCTTTTAACTCTAGGTACCTTAGTTACTTAGTTAGGAGTCCGAACTCCTCATTGTCTCAAACGTCGCGGCTTTCTGGCAAAGATAGTCGAAGCATCGCGATGACTACATTCATACTTGCTTGAGACGGCTATCGAGGTCCTAATCATCAGCATATGAAGTTATGGACTACTTGTCGCAAATTAGGAATCAATGTCTTGGGCATATTATGAAAAGTGACAATACAAAAGCCAACTCTAATGCAGGCATCCTTGTCTGCCTACTTACTTATGCGAAGTTCATTGCCGTGAAGGAATCTCAGAGGTTGGCTATTTAAGAAGCCCTGGAAGATGAAATTGCTACCAGTCCATCCTCAGGTGAGACTAGATCACAATAGTAGTTGATTTTATATATCTCTTCCTCGATGGCGCTATTGCTTAACAAGCTTGGTTGAGAATGTAGATTCCCCAGCGTACATATTGTGAAAAGAGTTTGGTACAGCATAACACTGGCATATCTGACGAAAGCACATCATTGATCACGGTTGAAAGGCAGGCAATATGCGAGCTGGGCCTGTGCACAGATGATATTGGCCGTCTTTCGACAAACGGGCGCATCACTATACATGCCATGTCATATATGCAGGCAATGGAATGCGCGGCAGCGGCCCGGCATAAGACCTCACCGCCTACCAGTGTACATATGCGGGGTTGTGACGCCGTAGAAGTTCTCCTCTTCAATACCAGTGTATCTCGATCTGGTTACCTTTGCTCCCTGCGATCGACTCTAAATTACATACCATGGTTCAAAGGTTTTTCGACTGTTCGGTGCCCACGTGCCCAAAACCAAGTGCCCGTTCAGTAGGGGCTGGTTGTGATATGTGCAGCCGTCACTTCTGCGGTTTCCATCTTTCCAGAGACTTCCATCAATGCGACGCTACGGTGAGTCGCGCAGGTCGAAAACCATGGCCGCGTACTGTACTGATTAAATATGCATTCCAAGTCCCTCGACGACGCAGCCTATCACGCCTCATGGCCGCTGAGATCAACAATCTGCGTGCTCGAATCAACGGACCGGCAGTGTGTAAGCTTGCCTCCAGCTTAAACGCAGAGAAGCCCTGTGTGCTAGAACACCCCCCAAAGGTTGTAGGGTTAGAGTCTCTCACAGGCTGTGCAAATTACTATGTCCGCATCCGGTTTGAGGATGGGTCGCCATCGTGGCTTTTACGAGTGCCGCGAGTTACGGGCTTTGCTGTCGGTCTTCCTTTGTCTCTTGCCGAATACCTGATTCGAAGCGAGTATGCAACACTCAAATTCCTGGAGACTACCGAGGTGCCAGCGCCGCGGGCATTCTGGTTTGGTATCCCGTCCCAGGGAACCGATTGTGGCGTCGGGGTCTGCTTTCTTCTCATGGAGGAGTTAGCTGGTAGACCGTGGGATGGCCAAGGAGACACCTCCAAGGTTTGGCAACGTCTTGCAGAGATTTTGGCGGAATTGGAGAAGCATGAGTTTCGACAAGCTGGTTCTCTATGCGTCGAGTCCCCTCAAGATCAACCTTTGGTTTCTGCTGCAGCAAGCGACAGATTCGTCTGCCTTGACCCTTGCGGTCCATTCAAAACCGCAACAGAGTATTACTCAGCCTGGGCCGAACAGCATCTCGCGCTGATTGTTGACGGTCAGCTGTACCCCCAATTCCCAATTGAGGCCTACCTGGTGTATCGATTCTTGAAGAAGAACGCGGGCGCGTTGTCCGATGACGATGACGTGTTTTTTCTCAGGCACGTTGACGACAAAGGTGATCACCTGATGGTTGACGAGCAATCCAACATCATTGGTATCGTTGACTGGCAAATGGCACGTGTCGTTCCGCGACGAGAGGCATTTGGGTTATCACTCGTATCTGCGGATATGGGAGCTCTATGTGATGGTGAAGTGTCACTCAGTGCGAAAGACGTCGCACTTGGTGATGCTTTGCGGGGAAAGAGCGCAAGATTGGCTGAATACATGGGGGATGAGAAGGTGAGACGATTCTTTTGGGGCCTGGGACTAGAGCACAACTGGACCCTGGCATTGCCGTTGGCGAAGGCTATACTTCAAGTCTTTGGCGTAGAACAGGGTTGGGATGAATGGAGAGAGGAGCAGTTGACCGAGTGCAAGGGCGATGAACGTCTGACGGCCCTTTTGGAAGTTTCTTGAGCAGCGGTGGTGTCGCTATTAGCACAAAGCGGAAATATGCACCCGATCTACCCTTAAAGAGAAACCTCAATAGAAAGGGCTGGGGTTATTAATACGCTTAATGGTTCTGGGAGAGCCGCACAATGGAATCCTGGAACCTCCTCACGATGATGAAGAGCGTCCCAGGACCTGCGTCCAGGAATGGGTGTTGGTCCTGTGATGGACGTAGGGCATACACCTGAATCCTGGGACCGGGCTACAGGCGCATCCACGGACATAACCTTTCTGCCTTTACAGAATAATGACAAATGATATCTTATCGTGTCCCATGAGCTGCTAATTTAAGATTATGACTGGAGCGTTGTCTAGAGATCAATTCTTACAGTCGCTTGGGAAAAGCGGGCAGTCTCCGTGTCTGACTGGCAGCTGCACGAACACGTCTTCCATGCACACCCACACACCGTAGGCAATGACACAGACGCCCCCACCATCTGTAATAACAAAGGCACAGTCCCGCCCCAGCACCAACCCATCGAAACCTTGGACTTCGAATATGATGGTGTACGTATTGGAAGACTGAATAACAAAAGCTGATGCTTGCGTCAAGCGATTATCCATAATTGAAATTAGAAGATTGAATTGGTTAGGAACGGGTAGGTTGCTGGTGGAAAGCCTGCTATGGCTTGTGAGACCATGAAAGAATGCGTACATTATGTGGTACCAAGAGATAAGGTCTGCAAGAGCAATTTAATCCTATCCCGGTCTTGCAGATGCGTGTCAGCAGCCGAGGTTGCAGCAGCCAATGAGTAAGTACACGTAGGTATCGTTAAGGATTATGATAGGTTCAGTTGCAGGCAGAGCGGTGCCGCAAGACCGCTTTCTAGGCCAAATCGTGTGCATGTGGCTTAATGAGGAATCAGTTGCGACGTTTGCTTCGAGCATTCGTTCGGCGAGCCATGTTGGGCGGAGAAACTGAATTAGGTGTGATTTTCCTGATGTGGTTGCTTGATACACCATCTCTCCTCTCCCACCTCATACCAAGCTTTCCCGTCATCCAGCGATTCATTCATGTCGAATTATTGGAAGAAATCTCCTGTCTGGGAACATGCTCAAATCTATCCACACAAAACTCACCTTTCCCCCCTTATCGCAGGTCCTTTTATTGCGCAGACAAAATGTCCCTTAGCATACATCTGCTGCTCCTCTCGATCTTGTTGCGCGCACGATGCGTGTCTGCAGACGATGGAGATGACTTCGCCAACAATCTTTTCTCAGATCTGGCACCGTAAGTTTCAAATATAACGTATTTTTCGGAGACTGCACTGACCATTTCCACGGTTAGATTGCTGGCCCTCTTCGGAGAACGAGTCACTATGCAATTCATGAGTGGGGCTATGGGCTGGGCTGATAATATCATTCTTGCCATGGCCCCTCTAGGTATAATTACGGCTATTGTAGCAGCTATTCGCGTCGGTGGCCCCTCTTGGCTGAAGGCGGTGATAGGGAGAGCTCGGGGGAATCTCGCGGTTGCTGAGGCTGAATTAATGTCATCAACATCGCAGGAGGTCTGCGAACTTTGGAATGGTCAAGAGATTGTGAGGTGCATGGGATCACCCTCAGTTGTCGAGTTTATCTGTTTGTTGCCTACCAAGGGCGACGGGATTGCTAAAATCGAGGTGGAATCTCTGCGAAAGGCGTTCAATAATTCTGACGAATATCTGAGACCGATTGGTAAGAAACCATTCGCGCTTCTTCACGGGCTTATTCTTACTTTTTTTCCCCTAGATTTAAGCATCAAGGGCAGCTATCATCGATGGCGAGATTCGCGAAAGCCCCTAGAAGCATCGACTCAAAATGTCGTTGTTAAACGGAACTTCTCTCTCGACGCACCAAATATCTCCCTAAACACCCATCGCCATACAGGGAGAGGGGAGTTGCGCGTTGTCGCATTTATTGGCATAATTCTTCAAATTGGTGTCCTTCTGTACTCCGGCTTCGCGACATATTATCCTACCTTGAGATTCTTGAAAGACGACAATGCTATCGCCAGCTACGCGTACCCTTGTAATGCAACGGGAACATTTGTTCTAGTGGTTGGGATGATGTTATGTGCCCATGTTGTTGAAAGTAGCACAGCAGAGGAGCACTTTCAAGCGAAGCCAGAAACCAACAAAAGGGTCCGAATGGTTTGGCTGCAACAGACCAAGACCGTTAGCGACCAAGTTTTTGGATCATTTGCTATATACGGAAAGGATGACCAAACTTTCATCACCACATCAAGGCGATCTCAGAAAGATGAGGGCGAGAATGTTACCCCAAACGGGTCTGACGCTCTTGATCACGCGGCTCCAACGAGTGATTCAACAATGAAGCGCAGAGGCGCCTCCCTTACTCTCCAATTCAGGGCCGTTCTTGGAACAATGACTACGCTAGCGGGATTTATCTTACAGTTTGTTGGTCTACGAGGGTTGCATTGGTCGGCCTCCATTGCTCAGCTCATTGCAGTCTTTTTGATGGTTTGTCTTAAAGCATGGGTTCGTCGCGGACTTGCGACCCCGCCTAAAGCCATATCTTTGCCATCTGGATACGAGCTTGACTGGTTTGCAAAGACGTTAGGAAAGGTCGATGAAGCACCTTCGAACGACGAAACGAAATCCAGTGAGAATTTCGTCACTAGATCGGGTCGACAACTCAAGAAACCTGCTGGAAAACTTGGGGGAAAGCTTGGTGTGGCCACGCCCAGTACGAATCCTGCCCCGGAAGGTTCTGGAAAGGAATTTGCCAGTGCATGGAGAATCGCAAGCAGTGGAGACGCGCACTTCGGCCGTGAGAAACGGAGCGGCAACCGGGGCGAGAACCAAGGCGACGAGCTGGGTAGGGAGTTGCGCCGGAACAACGATGAAGCTGCTGTGCCCATCGCAGATGCTCAGACAGTGCTGAAAATTCGAAAGGATCTTGGTTACTTGGCCAAATGGCGAGGACCTGCATCTACCGAGGCTGTTTCTCTTGCTAGGGCAATCGAGATCGCGATGGATGCCTTGATTGGCCCTTCTCCGATGGCTTCTGAGTTTTCCGACACTTTTTATTGGTCTCTTGACGCTGTTTATGATGGCACAGACAACGACCCGATCAATTTCGAAATTTGGCGACAAGCTGATGGGAAATGGAAGTCATTCGCGAATGAATACGACGCAGCACTTTCGTTGTGGCTCTCCACAGCCCACGATGAGAAGAAAAGAGCTGCCAGGCTTTCCGAAAAAGCGAGGGAAAAGCCGGCTAATCCTTCAGAGTACGAGAAGACACCATCAGTCAAGCTTTCTGAAAATGATGAGGAAGCAGCAGCCAGATTGAATAAGTCAGTCCCGCTGGTTGAAGCCGAGAAACGAACAGAACTTGCAATCAACAGGGAAGATGATATGCGATTGCGCAAGGAGGAGTCGAAAGGGGAGCAAGGCCTGCGGCTTTTGGGTTTGCATACTACAGCCCTCCGTCGAGATCTCCAGTGGTGGGTGCCGGAAGATTTGATTCAGATCGTCGACGTCCGACAGAACAATTCTGGCACCCTAGTAGTGGAAAGTGAGAGAGTTTTTGGCTATAATCAGCAAATATGGGCTAAGCAGCAGAAGGGGAGCCATGGAGAAAACGACCCCGAACCCTTCACTCGTTTCACCCGCACAGATTTACCCAACGAATCCACAGATAATGATGAAGAGTCCAAAGAGGATAAAAGCGAGTCAGGGAGGAACTATCTTGCGGCAGAGTCGTACGCCTCCTTGCCTTTGTTATTCGCCCAGCACATGTTTTCGGCATTCATGCATGCCGTGGCAAGCACGAACGAACGAGGCGAACTCTTCCAGACGGTCGCCAAAGTGCAACCTAACGCCAATGGATCTAGCACTTGGAATTCCTTCACCCTGCGCAACGAATCCTTGTCTAAAATGATTCGGGAAATCGAGAGTACTGGTCTTGGAAGCTTGGAAGATATCTATGCTTGCGTAATTCCGCCCCTTAGCCAAAAGCAGAAGCTCCCTCGAGCTGATGATGCGATTATCCAACTGGCAAGAGAGCAAGCCAAGCAACATGAGCGACGCCAGGATTGGGGAAAGGCTGCTGATACTTATTTGTGGCTTTTCCGAAAGGCAAACACATTTGGGAAACAGGACATCGTCGCCAAGGTCACAGCCATATTGATGGAGTTTCTGAGGCTGGTCTCCGCGACTAAACTCCTAAGAAGAGGTCTTGATTTTGACGTAACCCTCGATTTGGCTAAAGAGAAAGTTGAGAAGGCACTGAGAAAGTCTGCTGATCCCCAAATTCTGTCGAAGCTCATGATGTTGTACACGGATCAGGACCGTGCATGGAAATGCAATGTGGTCAGCGAGGAGAACATCCAGCTCGGCCGAGGGTGGGAGAACAAATTTCCGAAAGCGTTCAACTTTACGATCATGCATGGGGTAATGAAAGGATACATCCCTTCCAACCCTGAAACTGTGTTTTTGACCACACGGAGTGTTACTGCGAAAGACATCCTCCACTGGACGCCGCTTCATTATGCGGTCAGATCTGGCAAACGAAGGGCGGACCGCCTGCTACTTTATGGAGCCAATGTTGATTCCGGCGATCTCATGGGTTGGACGCCGTTACATTACTTTTGTCAATTAAGCAAGCATGGCAAGATGAAGAACAGCGAAAAAGAGAAGATTGAATGTTTTCATGATCTCATCCAAGGAGGCGCCAATGTCAATGCGCAAGGTAGAGATGGCACTACACCACTCCACTGTGCGTCAATTACGGGGAACGATTGGGCAGTGAAAGCATTGATTGAGGCAGGAGCAAACGCAGACACTCCTGATTTCTCAGGAACCACACCTTTGCTGTGGGCCGTGTACAAGGGGCAAATGGGCATTGTCAAGAGCCTTTGGGGAGTATCGAATGAAAGATTGCGAGACAACAACGGCAGAACAGCCTTACACTTAGCAGCCTGGTCAGGAGAAACCTCTTTAGCTGAATGGCTGATTGGAAAACCAGGGGTTGATCAGGAAGCTAGAGACCGCTACAGGCTCAGCCCCTTACAATGCGCGATCAGAAATGGTCATGAGGGTACAGCAATCCTCCTTATCAAGAATGGTGCAAAAACGCATGTCGAAGACCCATTACACACACCACCACTGCAAGAGGCAGTTGACGAAGGATTTGGGAAACTCGTAGCGCTGCTCATTCACAAAGGCGCAGGAATAGACGCCGAAGATGAAGATGCTTGGACTCTACTACACCGAGCAGCTTTTAGGGGGCATACAAGAATTGTCAAATTCCTACTTCGGAAGGGTGCAAAAAGGGACTCCAAAGGTAGGTGGGGAGTTACGCCTCTACACGTAGCTGTTACGAGCGGACGTGAGGAAGTTATAAAACTCCTTCTTAAGAAAGGGGTTAATATTGAGGCGAAAGATAAAGAGGGAGAAACGCCTCTACATAAAGCTGTCAAGAGAGGAAAAGAGGAAATTATAAAACTCTTTCTTGAGAAAGGCGCAGATATTAACGCAAAAGATAGCAGTAGAAAAACGCCTCTACACAAAGCTATTGAGGAAGGACACGAGAAAGTTGCAAAACTCCTTCTCGAGAAAGGGGTAGATGTTGACGCGAAAGATAAGGCGGGAATAACGGCTCTACACAGAGCTATTGACAGAGGACAAGGGAATGTTGTAAAACTCCTTCTCAAGAAAGGGGTTGATATTGAGGCGAAAGATGAGTGGGGAGATACGCCTCTACACAGTGCTTTTAAGAGAGGAAAAGAGGAAGTTGTAAAACTCCTTCTTAAGAAAGGGGTTAATATTGAGGCGAAAGATAACAAGGGAGAAACGCCTCTACACAAAGCTGTTAAGAGAGGAGAAGAGGAAGTTGTAAAACTCCTTCTCAAGAAAGGGGTTGATATCGAGGCAAAAGATGAGGCGGGAACAACGCCTCTACACAGAGCTATTGAGAAAGAAAAAGAGGAAGTTGTAAAACTCCTGCTCAAGAATGGGGCTGATATTGAGGCTGAAGGTAGGCTCCCGAGATACATTTCAGATGAGCCGTACCAACTTTCGCCGCTACACTGGGCCGCTGGGATTGGGCATGCGAATATTTCGAGGATGCTCGTGGCCAAGATGGCCAGAACAGACGCTGTGGATAATGGCAAACCGAGCCCGCTTAGTCTTGCGATCGAATTTGGATATCTGGAAGTCGCAAAGGTTTTCATCGATAGCGGGTCGAATGTGAACGAAAAGTTGCTGGATGGTATAACACTACTGCACAAGGCTGTTGCAAACGGCGGTGTAGACCTTGTCAAACATCTCATCGACAGTGGAGTGGACCGGGAGATGGAGAATGATGAGGGCAGAACTGCACGGCAGATGGCCCTTGAGATACGAAAGGAAATAACAGAATGGGGACCAAAGGAAGTATTCAGGCGGGGACTCCGGTGGACGACACTCACTGTCCAGGAATTCGACGATATCATATCACTTTTAGAGTAGTAGGGATCGGGCGTCTCGGACTGCAGCTGAGAGAATTAGCTTCAGACGGTGTTACCAACAGAGAGTCCTTCATGAAGGGCTTAAAAGAAATTGAAAGGAACATCGCAAGGCAACTTGCCGAAGAAGAACACATAATCCTTGAATGAAGTCATACCCCGGAAGTCCAAACGACAGTATCAGTGGCATCTACTGCCTATTTGAAGAATCTGTGGACTTTGTGTGCTTGTTTGTCTATCGATGACGTTCAACTGTACATCAGTCATCCTAAGGGGGCTCGTGGTCTTAATTAAAGTACAGGTGTAATTGCCAGTAGGGGCCCTTTTACTTGTTGTTAAGTGGCTAAACGCGCCTAGTCGAGCGGGATTCAAACTTGAGGACTCGTGTGGGACCTTGCGTCAAGCTGCAGTTGTATAGTTGGGCTACCGGGAGATCTGGGCTCATAACTGTCGCAAAAACGACGCCGTTAATTGTGGGCAGCAATCAACGCCAGAGATACCATTTTGATACATTGGCTTGCTATTACGGCAACGTCAGCATGCCCAACATTCCATCACATCCGTCGTTGGTGTTCCCGGGTCAGCGGCGTGCTGTGATGCCGACAACTCAACAGTACCAGTACTATGCAGCCCTCGACCAGTCGCATAACCCCCCGGGGGCTCATACATGGCGAGAACATGGCTTTTTAGCGAACCCGGCTGGTAACATGGCATTTTCTGGCCATCCTCCAGCCCAGCCAGACGGCCAATATTCTCAGCCGCCTATCCCAGGGCCTGGAAACAACGCCCCGCGATAATCGGCTGTTGCAGATTGTAATTTTGACAGATACTCGAACAGGGAACACATTGTCGGTAGGTAGAACGGGATCCAAGTTTCAATAGTCGAGGAACCCTATGGCGGTCGTAGAATTGGGAAAGTATTATGCGAGACCTTTTTGATGTTCTGAGCCTTGACGTCGACATGGCCAAGCGACTGCCCGACTGCCGAAGTCATGGAGTGGAGAATGAGGGGTAAAGCTGCATTCTCGGATAATGAGAACAGGGGACCTATGCACCCCAGAAACGAGTTAGGTAATTTTTCAGAACTCAGACGCAGAGTCGCCCGCGCGGGACGGCGTTAAATTGACAGCCTTTCGGCCAATGCTGCCAATTCTGGTCTCCCATCTATTTGGGTTTTCACACTGGCTAACGTGAGCTACACCGACCCCTGAACCTTGGCCAGCTAGCGGCAAACGAGACATGCTATATAATACATTTCTGAATGAATTGGCCCCCTCACTTGGCCCCGCCATGTAAATCCGTTTGCTATAAATCCGGTTGCCCCGCCCTCGACACTAAGGTAAATCGGCCACCCACCGTGATATAACGGCCTTTTAAATTTCTCACCGTGAGGGGTCTTTTGCGGACCATCGAGACAGACAACCCTCTTCCCGGCAACTCATCGACACCAATAATATTGCGAAAAGAAAATGTCCTCCAAGCTTCACCAAGCGCCTCCTTTCAGGGCCGAGCAAATGGGCTCCCTGCTCCGTCCCCAGAAGCTCCTCGACATCCGCGAAGGCAAGATCCGCGACCAGGGTCTGTCCGAGGAGGAAGCCGGTCTTCCCGCCGTCGAGAAGGAGTCAGTCGCCGAGGTCGTCCAGCTGCAACGCGACCTGGGCATCAAGGGCGTCACCTCGGGTGAATTCAACCGCACCCGCTTCTGGGGCCTCATGTGGGATGAGTTCGAGGGCTCACCCGCCTGCAGGATGCCGAGGCCAGCATGTTCCGGCTATACCACCCCGACGTGGTGAGCCTCATCGAAAAGGACCGCAAGGTCATGCCGGGCGACTCCGTCATTGCCGGCGGAAAGCTGTCCCACTCGCCCGCAAAGTCCAAGTCCAACTTGCACGAGCTGCGTCTGGTCCAGGCTGCCCTGCCGAAAGAGGAGTGGAAGGATATCAAGTTGACCATGATCACGCCGGCTTGGTTCCACATGCGCTACAAGCAGGGCAGAGCCTACACCAAGGAGGCGTACGCCAACGATGCCGAGTACTTCAAAGATGTCGCCAAGGTTTATCACGCCGAGCTCCAGCAGCTTTATGATGCTGGTTTGCGCAACGTTCAATTCGATGACCCCGGCATGGCTTGTGAGTAAGCCGAGTCTGGCTGCAGAAACCACGATCGCTAATCGCTCGCAGATTTCTGCTCGCAACAATTCCGCAAGGGCTGGGAAGAGGATAAAGACAACGACGGCACCGTCGAAGACCTCCTCGATGCCTACATTGCTCTGTATAACGACACAGTCAGCAAACTGCCCGAGGACATGCACACCGGTATCCACCTGTGCCGCGGTAACTTCATCGGGGGCCGCCATTTCGCCGAGGGCTCCTACGACATCATCGCCAAGAAGCTCTTCCAGAACCTGAATGTCAACACATTCTATCTCGAGTACGATACCGAGCGCGCGGGCGGATTCGAGCCCCTCCAGTTCCTTCCCAAGAACAAGAACGTCGTCGTCGGTATCATCAGCACAAAGGTCGCCAAGCTCGAGGACAAGGAGGAGATGAAGGCCCGTGTTCTCAAGGCGGCCGAGTACGTCGCCAAGGGAAGCGGCGAGACCAAGGAGGAGGCGCTCAAGCGTATCTGCGTGTCGCCCCAGTGCGGTTTCAGCACCCACGAGAGCGGATACCCGTTGAGTCTGGAGGATGAGAAGAGCAAGCTTTCTTTGATTAGGCAGATTGCCGACGAGATTTGGGGCGAAGCCTAAACGGATTCACGAGGGCGATTGTGGGAGAGAGTAAGGTGGGAGTGGGGGTGTAACATTCAACATGGCAGGTTTAAGGGTGGGCGGGTGTAAGGTTACTCATTGCAAGCGCGTCAAAAGTGATTGGTCTTTTTCCTTTCAACCAAGTCTTAGGGATCCAATGTCTTTATTGAAAAATACCTTCAAATAATCTTGGTCCTGTGGTCACGTTCAACCCTACGATGAAAGTCGCAAACAGGGCCCGGGAGTATTTGCCTTTTCCTCAAACTTAAAGCGTGAGTTCCAGAAGTCTCGTCCCCTCAAGGCCTACTCATCGCAGTCAAGCCTTCTCGTTACTTAAAGTTGTGTTGCAGCGAGGGGATACTAATTGAACTGAGGGGCAGATGAGATCCTGAACAAGACTAGATTGTAAAATGATGGGCCGTTGCCAAGTATAGACTATGTGAAAAGCATGGAGTATGGTACCATGGTGTTGGTTGAACTTCTTCAACCGGGTATTGAGCTCAAAATCGGAGCGAATGGAAGGAATTTGGACTACAATGGAGTCTGAAAAGGGATTCGGCTTTCGTGGGCGGCCTTGTTGCCAGATGCTGCCTTCGTAACCTAGAGGGTTGCCAAGCCCAACTCTAGACAGCCTTGATTGATTTGAGGTTTGAAACCCTGCTCGAGACTTTGATTAGAAGAGTAGACGCGGACTCGGTAGTCTCAACCGTCATAGCACTCCAATTAGTCTCGCTCGATGGACCGTCTCCGGGAGTGCATCTCCCGAACGAACTTGGGCCAGGTGTTTGTCAACATAAGATACTTTATATGCCCTTGGGCGCTATCAAACACCGCAGAGCTGAACCCTGCAGAGACCTCACTGATATATCGAGCTTGATACCGACTATCGCCGCTACTTCCTGCGCTCGATCCAGTATGCGCTCTCAAGTTAGCGTCGTCGAATGGGACAGCAATATTGATAGAGGCATCTTCTCCGAAAAGAATGCTGACAGGCTTGTGAAAGACCCTAAAAAGCTGCTTCGACTCCTGGGAGGGACGATTCAAGGGAGATCTGCGTGTTCTAGAGAGATGAGTCGGCATAGATCTGGAGGGCGCGGTTGTATGCATCGACCCTCTCTTCGTGAGCAAGGGACTCGCGAGATTCCGCGTCAGATATGGCAGGCGGCCACGACCCGGCGTGGAAGCACGCGATACCCAGCGGAAACCAAATGCCCGTTAGAAAGTCTTGGACGTCGTACGAAATAACGACGGGCATCGTTCCGCCGATTGGGTACGTGATCAAAGCCATGCCTTAGTACAGGTGCAGAAAGATCATGTAACCAAATGCTAGAGGCAGACCTCGAAGCCTCCAGATGGTGTTCCTGCGATTGGCCCAAAGGAAGGCCGTTTCCGCGAAGACGACGGCTGCCCATATCGCGCAAAATGTGGCGTAGAAGATGCCGGTTCTATCCCATTTTGGCGGCATGGGCGGGAAGTTGTACATCGTGAGGCCGTTCAACGCTGCGTAATCTATTGTCGAGATGGTTTGCTGTGATAATTGCACGTTGCATGAAGGAGGCGAGGGAGGAGGCACATGCAGGTTGTCGTGATCTCCCTGGTGTTCTTGGGTACGGACATGGGCAGGGGACAACCGCGCTTTTCAAGAGAATAGAACCTTTGTGCATATGACATGCAAGGCAGATGATTACCATAGCAAGACCAAGTCCAAGCCTCTCCAGCGACGGCATTGGCACCTAAGAGTAGGGAGATCGTCCTTCTGAGATCGCTAGATCTGGCCAAGGGATAGCGTGCTTGGCAATATTACCAATATGATCCAGATGCTCAGTCCATTCGAGGCAGCGGAGCACATTCTCCTGCGTCTGCTGCGGGTTGTTGCTTCCGCATTGTGGCGTCTTTCAGCCATGCCAAACGCCCTTTTGGGAGACTCCCAACGCAGGAAGAGCAGGGGTTGGTCTCGAGTCGGATTGCCTCTCTTCCTTTCCGTACTCCTTGCTTTCTTGATCATGTCGATGTTTCGATACTCAATATGCTCCACTGCCGCCCGGACTAGACCAAGTTCGCTCTCACCCAAGAATAGCATGATGGGGATGCCCTGCATACGTTAAGTTTTGGGATTCAATGCAACAATGGCTTGGTTTCTGCGAAGTCCAAGTCAAACGACCTTCTCGAACCTCTACGAAACCCCTCAATCGTTCATCCAAAGGGCATGGGCACCTATCTTGTTTTGATGGCTACGTACTTTACCTACTATGTTCGCACTAGCGTTGGGATTGACAGCAATAGATGCTCTGTTGATCATTTCCAGAGCTCCATTCTTCTCAACGACCGGTTTGCACCGCCAACTTCTTTGAGGCACGGTATCTGTGCAGACGAAAGAACGAACGTCGAAGCCCACCTTCAAAGTTGGCGCTTAGTCTAGGGGGCATTTACGTCCTCGTGTGTCGATGGTGGAATGACGTGGTTGTTGGTCCAGGAGAACTCAAGATGTGCATTCTCATCAGCAAGGATAGCTCTGAATGACCATTTCCCGGATATGGTATAGGCCTTGGGTTGCCTACGCCAACATCAGAGGATTTGTGGGTTTCTCGCCTGGAACAGAACCGGGGTGTCGGAGCAGACACATGCCGCCAGATTCAGATCGATACCGTATCCAGAGACGTGGGAACCCGAGTTATTCAGGGGCCCATGTAGGATATGCAGGCTTGGGGAGATCCCGGGAAAGCGGCTGTCTCCCCCCGGTCGATGCAGGAAATGATTCCACAGAAACCCTCAAATGCAATGATGCCAAGCATCTGTCGATCGTTTCCTACCGCCAAGAAATGAGCCAATCGACCATCACAGTATCGACAGGCTAATCAGATAAACAATGCCCAGTCAAAAGGTTCGCGGCTCAAGCGCAGTTTCAGCTTATCGTAACAATGCCCATAAAAGGCCTCGGGCCGGTATCATTGGATAATGGCATCATGACAGCTAAAGTCAAATGATGTGCACGATTTTCTTTTAGTTGCTGATCATTAGAATATCTGTTCGTTCAAGCATCAGCAGACCTGGAGAAGTTGAGAGCGAGGTTATTGGAAACCGGCTCTCATCCAACCACAGTGCCATTTACGGGATATAAGATAGAGCGTTGCGGGCGTGGGTGGTTCATTGGTAGTTTAGTTACCATGCTGGAGGGCTGTTTTGGGCTTGGAAGACAAAGGTCCTCGACCAGGAAAGGGAATTACAAGTGATTTCCTTGAAACGATCAAGTCAGAAAAAGCTTTAGAAAAGATGTTTTGTATTTCCAAGGAACCTGAGGAACAATTGCAATGTCTCAAAAGTCTAGTACAATCTTAAACCGCTTAGAATTATTGAAGACACACTTGGGCTTATATGAATGAAATCGGCCTAGAGTCAAGTTCCCATGACCGTTTCTCCAAAACGAGAGAAAATACTGTTGATAGTAAAGCAAACCTACTTGCCATCTCGCCGGTGAGCTCGACAATCTCCTTGAATCGTAGATAAGGTAGGCGAGCACGTGGCCAAACTTTCCTCAGGGTGTCATGAATCCAGGGACGATGAGTTGTTCATGCAGAGATTCAAAGCGAAGACGAGAGATTTTGCATGACACTCGTTGCCAAAATACATGACGTTCTTTCCGCTCCAAGAGTCATTTCCGGTCCGCCGCAAAGATTCCTACACATCAAAACGAGCAGATATGACGTATCGGTCTCCGTTCCCTGAGGCTAAGCCGTAGGCATCTCGCCAATGGGCCTAGACGTCGAGATACCACATGAAATCTCTATAAAGCCAGTGTCGTCGCGTGGCTGGTTTCGTTCCCACTCATGCCCGGATTTCCCAGTTTACTAGTACTTGGCAATATAGATAGACCCCGTCCATCAGATGTCAGAGTAAGGGAATTCAATGAGCCAAGTCATTGAAAGTCTTCAAGCCGATAGGTCGTGAATGGTAATCGTCGACGGTCAACAGCCCCCACACTGGCTTCTACATCCGGACCCTCGTATACGCAATTGGTGAAAGGACGGGACGACTGTTAAGAACAGAAGAAAATGAAAGGAAAAGAAAGAAAAGCCCCGCGATACCTTGGTACACCCTTGGTCGGCGAACGTTTCCGTCACCTCATCTGAACGGCCGAATACTCTGTATTGCAAAACCATCTATACCGTACTTACAACACCTACAATTTGCTGGTATAATTAATACACAATTTTTGATAAACGTAAACGTCGCCGGGTGGGTAATCAAAGGCTACCTGGATAAATATAGACTTGACAAAACACTTTGCAGGTGCTAATGACACAGGACTGCCGTACCCACAGGGCATGCGGTTTGATCGACCCGCTCAGTCAAGCCTCATAAGAGTGGATAAAACCGTCTCTGCACAGCAAGGGGAAAATGACGCGCAGACATTTAGGTTACCGGCATCGAGTCAGTTACATTTGCAAACATCAAAAACATTGATGCCCTCAGTGCAAAGCGTTTCGACAGATGAGATGTGAACAGGTACAATAAATTACCATTTGTTTTGGAAGATGCTAAGCTGACCGCCAGTCCTCCCGCTTTCCGAGGCTGTCCTCAAAACATCCTCCCAGAAGAAACAGGCCGCTTCTGTTACGCAGCTACAAGACTCAGGGTCTCCTGCCATCGGCCTGTTCCCCCCTTCAAACCCGCCCTTTTGATTGCGTGGTGTCTAGGACCAGAGCCAACAATGCTGTTTGTGTCCAATGATAGGACCCCCATTGTTTCCAGCCGTACGCCTATCAATGACCAAGGGAGAAGATGCGAAAAGTGTTGCCCCGGGATAGTATGTGTGAATGTCCAAACACCAGTGCCGTAAAAATATGAACGCCGTCTCATGAAGCCGTTGAGAGATAGTGATGAAGAGTAATGCCGCACAGGTCTAACAAAGTCGCAAGTCTATGTCCGCTCGTTGACAACCCACTTCTTTTTCTCCTTGGGGGGCTTCTCATCGTATACGGCCGGCGGCGGGCCAGACATGAATTGGCCAGGAGCATTGACGAGACCAGCCTGGTTGACATTGACACCGGAGCCAGCGATGATGCCGCTGGGTCCCTTATGGGCGTGTTTGCCGAGCTCGTACATGCGGTCCTTGCGACGGAGGTAGCGCCGGCGCCAAATGCATGCACCAACCCAGATGCCAGCAATGGCGACGACGAGGATTACAAGCATGACGACCCATTTCCAGTGATTAGAGAGCCTAGCATGCAAGTTAGCGATGGCCGATAATACAAGCCTTTGGAATAGTCTCAAGTCTCACCAATCGCCGCCATTTCCGCTGTTGGACCCTTTTGAAGCTCCGCTTGTTGGGGTGGCTCCTGCCGAGGATGAAGCAGACGCAGTGGCAGCGCCGCCGGTGACGGAATTACAGAACGAGGTGTACCATCCCTGGATACTAGTGAAGCCGGCGTCATCACATCCCGCGGCAGGACAGACACCCGCCGCTGCAGTGGAAAAGGCTTTCAGAGCGCCTTGGCTACAGAAACACCTGTCGTAGGTGTTGGCGTCAGCCGCCGGGACGGCAGGAGGGACGCAGGCACCGTTGGCGTCGAAGAGGGGGCCACATTTCTCAGCGCACGCGGGCAACTGCGCAAAGGGCATAATCGTTGTTGAAAGGCCAGCTGCATCATGTTCAGCCAGGGTGTTCATCATCATGGACTGAGGCGTTGAACTGGTACTTACACATCTTGACGTTACTGGTGAGATGTTTGAGGGTAAGAAAAGAGATGGAGCGTTCGAGATGGGAAAAAGGAGAGGGATCTCGGAGGGAAGTAAGTAACTTGTCAGCCGCTGCGGCCAAAACAAGTCGTTGGAATGCGGAGACGTTGGAAGCAATCCACGGTAGGTATTCCTCCTTATTGCGGTGGCCCAAGACACGTCGGGTGGCACGAGTGCGAAATTGAGCCACAATCCAGCTAGTCAAGCCCAGAAGATTGGCGACAAGAGAGGAATGTGATGCACCAGTGGAAGCGGTGAATCTGTGACTTTAGTTTGGTCGCAGCAATATTCCGTCTGGTGAACAATGCCGTTGGCGAATACAACGTCGGGTCTGATTTTCGTCTGAAGTCGGTCAACGTTGAGCCAAGTCCAGCTGCCGTCCCAGGTTCTGCCGCACAGATTGCTTCAAAGCGTCGTAATATTCGTTGAATGCGGGAAAGCCGAGTTCTGAAGATTTTCGGAAGAGATTCCGTGCGTGTCTATTGATTTCGCGGGTCGATTCGTCGTCACGTTGACGAAAAGGCGTGTATTCTAACGAGGGCGGCTATCCGTCACCAGCGTTCGGTCGGCTCGGGTTTCGGGGGATAGGGCGTGGGGATTTCGAGGAAGCGAGATTCTCGTATACGCAAGGCAGGATCCAGAAAGCGACTTTTCGGCGGACTTTGGTTTGAATCCTTCGTCGTATGTACGTCGGTTGGCCGAGGGGCGAGGTGTTCCAAGCGAGTGACGATAATCGGGAAGCGGATTGCGAGTCTGTGAAGCTTGACGATGTCGGTCGGCACGGCTGATGGTTTCGAGGCGCCTCCTTTGTGTAGTGACGAAGCGAGGGTGTGAAGAGATGGTGGAGAGAAGGTAAGAGGAGAGGAGAAGGAGACTGGAGCCGAGTTGGTCGTTGTTTGTCAAAGTGTGTCGGTGATTTGGCGAAAGTGAAGGTGACCGGGAAAGGAAACGGAAGGGTGGAAAGATGGTGAGGAGGAGACAAGATGGGGGAAACGGAGAATTGAAGACTGAATTTGGATGGCAGAGCCGGCGGGCGATGGGCAATTGAGAGAAATCGACAGGGCGAAAAAGCAAGAAATGCGCGGTAAGACACCCGGCCAAGGACGGGCGATGGATCGATGGGATGGTACGACCTAGGGGCGATACTTCCGTTTCCGCCACAGATTGTATGGGAGACCATGTTCCCTTTCCTGCCTTTCCTGACCTGCCGATACAGGAGCACCAGCCGCAGAAACGGCTAAACAGCGCCTGCATCCCTCCATCCATCCATCCACGGGCCACGGCACCACCTCTTCCACAAACACACAACACACAACAAACACCCGAACCAGGACCAGAGTGAACCAGAGTGACAACACACACACACACACACACAATCGACGGCCCAAAGGCACAAGTGGGGGAACACTAACGATCACTGGGGCCTTGCTATGCTGAAAGCAAGGGAAGCGCTGCGGGAGCGACGGGCTCATCGTCAACTTGACGGGCCAGTGGCCACCGACTGGGTCAGAAACCGGGTCCGGGGTTCCAGCTCGACGAGCGTTTCCCCTCTACACGTGTAGCAAAATTCGGTCCCTGATCGAGTGCGGGACAAGGATTGCTACATCTTCAGGTTTAGGTTGGGGCACCCCCTTCTTGACGGTCCTCCGTATTCTATACCGTATCTGCGGGAACCTGAATGGTGGAATCTTCATTAGAAGTCGCCCCTGTGTGGCTCGGAAGGTTCGGTCACGCCTTGCAGAAACTCTGTCTCTATTTCTTTCTCTTCCAGGTTCTCTCTCGAACCCGTCGCTGTCCATTTCATACAGTGATCCATCTCACTGCATCACTGCAGCTCTCACCATCATCTTTCTGCTGACACTTCCTGCAGCCTGATGCACGCAACGCGGGAGTCCGTGATGCTCAGCAACACACTGACCTTGCAGCGTATGCCTCTGACTGCTTGGCCCTCTCCTCCCCCCCAATATCGATGATGGAAGAGCACAAACCGGGCTGTGCAGCGCCAGCTAGAAAGGTGAGCTACCCGCTCCGGCCGAGCGATCTGGGCACGTTCTACGGCAGTACGGCAGAGCCAGCCATCTGAGAGGAAAAAGAAAAAAGAAAATGGGCTTGGCTACCAAAGACACCATCGCGGCACCTCTGCGGCGCAGGGCGTTCTGATGGCTTGCTGTCCCGTCAACTCTCTCCCCTGCCCCCTCTGTCTTCCTTATGTTGCGGAGAGGCGGACAATGCCTAACTCGACACAACTGGTTGTCCATCTAGCAAGGGACAAAGGGCCAGTCACAAAGGTGTCACGCGTGTTGCACGAGGCGTCAATAGCAGAGCTGAAGAGGTGCGCCAACCCCCAGTTCCCAACCGTTTGGATACGCCCAGGTGTGCTAGGGCAGGCTCTCCGTTTTGGTATCCCTCCGTCTCTTACTCGAGACAATATTCGTAAGTGACAAGACAAGCGGTGCAGGGGGTGGCTGGGTTGCCCACGATGGGGCGGGCTATACCCGTCTGGTCATCGTCTTTCCAATCGTTATGCAGGAATTGTGTGGAGGAAAGCTCGCGAGGGACCAAGTGGACTGGTCGAGAACAAATGGAATTGGGAACTCTGCAGAAGCGGGAGCGGGAGTGAGAGACTGATTGACTGGCGAGGGTTAGAGGAGAAACCAGGCGGAGGATCTCTGGGACCCAAACACTCGTTTCTCTGTCTCAGAGGCCCTGCATCCAGCTATCAGCGCATGCTGCAAACACTCGTCGGAGGACGGGGCCCTTCGTAGTCAATCATTCAGTGACATTCTCGTCGCTGTGTTCCAGCGCCTACAGAGTACCGTCTTCGTCTCCTTTCCCTTGCTGCCCCCCTGGCAAATAAACAAAATCATTGTGCCCCTCGGAGTCCCTTCTCCACCGTGCAAATCCCGCACACTTACAGTGGAGCATGACTGTAGGAAAGTACTGAAACCGAGGCGCAAAAAGGGCCCGACAATGGTGAAGGCGAAGCGATCTCAACGCAAAACATGGCGGTTGATGCACCAAAGATCCGTCACCTCGAAGGATTTCCTCTTCTTCTCTAGACTCGTCACGGTCGCGCGTGTTTTGCTCTGGGTGACCCGGGGGAACATCAGCACCACGACAATTTGGAGAAACTCGCCAATTAATTTCGGTCAAAGCTTATGGCGGTCCTTTGTTTTGGGCTTGACGTCATGCAGTCCGCTCAAATGCAAGCCCGTCTCATTTCTGCCTTTATGCTTCAGCTTATGCTTTTCGCTGTACCTCGCCGACAGGGAACGACAAACACAGGCCAGCCTGGACCAGCGAAGCCATTCAGATGGTTGAGACTAGTTGGCGCAGAGTCAGGTGAGGGAGGTGAGCGCAGGAGAGAGAGAGGGAGAGAGAAAAGAAATACAAGTATATGGAGCACCTACGGATACGTATTGCTGACCTCATCGTCCGGACCTGCTCCGCTTACCTAAGAAGTCGGTCCCTAAAATTATCCCGCTGCTTCCTCAAAGCGAGCAAAGAAGAAATGAGCCCCGGCCGGCAACTTTCCTACCGGTAGGGGTACGGATACCCCAAAAATAATTTGGCTCCAGCCAGTTTACGATGGCCGTTGCAACTCTCCAATCTCGCCAAAATTCAACTTGATATCCAAACTCCAGACTATCGAATTCACAGTCGCACGCATCGAATATCATGCACCCTCACCCGTCCTTCGATTGCCCAGGCATTCTCTCAAATTCAATTCCTCAACATTCCGCGTCTTCCAACCAGCCTCTCTCTCTCTCTCTCTCTCTCTCTCTCTCTCTCTCTCTCTCTCTCTCACCTCCTCCTAAGACCATTCCCAAGCCTCTTGGCCGTCTGCGGGGGATAGCAGCAAACGCAATTTCCATGACGTCTCCATCTCTGCTTGGGAGGGCCTTGCCAAGCTGCGCCGTTGGGCTCGGCAAGCTTGCCTGGATGCGTCTGAGGACGAGTGCCGTATAGGGCCAACAGCCAAGAGATGGGCCAGGCAGGGGAAGAACCGAAAAAAGCAAATACGAAGATTCCCTTGGCACTTTGCGTTCGCGGGTCCCGAAGAAGAGACATACCGGTAGGTTATCCGTACGGATTCTCAACCCCGTATTCGTCGTTGGGGGGCCACGTCAGAATTACAGGTTCGCACGGAACAGCAAAGAAAGTCTTGTGCAGGTACAGCCACAACCTTACTTACCTATGCTGTGCGGCCTTGCTCGAGTTGTGGCTCGTCGCGCTAATTAGAGCAGACAACAGACTCCCTCCCTAAGAATGGCCACCACTAGCGCCTCTGCGGCTACCACAAGCACGGCGGCTCCAACGCCCCGGGCACCACAGACAACCTGAAGGACCTGTGTTCATATATTCGTACAGTTTCGACTATAATCGCTGCCCCGCCGGTGCAAGCGTCTGCGCCGGGCCGCTTCCAGGGTCCCAATCACCATACGGAAGAAGGAAAGGTAGGGGAGAGGAACCAGTACCAATACGGACATCAGATCAACCAGCCCATCTCAATTGCTCCCTTGGCGGAGCCTTTCCAACTCGCGAGCTGGTGCCGCAGACCTCGCCAGCGCCCTCTCCAAGACTTGCTTTGCGTGCTTCCAGTCTCTTTCTCAGCCTCGCTTAACCAAACCTCAGGCTTATGCTTCTGGCGCCAGTGAGCCCCCTTGTCCCCAGTATCGATACGTAGCGGGCCACGGCTGAAGTACAGAATGACCAGCGGCCCATCAGCCAGTTTGCCTAAGGCGTCCAAGGGCATCTCACGCATGCCTATAAGCCACAGGTGTACAGCAGAGACGTACTCGTGAATCGTGAGGAACTCGCCGCCAGCTATAAGCTCAAGCTGGTGGTTTTGAGCCCGCGGTTGCCGGGAGTCAGTCTTTGTATCAGTGCAGTACCGTCCCACGCCTTAAGGCAGCCGATCTTGACGGTAATAGCTGTGACCCGGGGTTCTAAGAGGGACTCTTGCGACACGGGGTGCCAGCTCAGGGTGAGATTGGGGCGGAACTAGGGTTCCATAACGTCGCTTGACTTATAATACTGGTCAGGCGCGACCTGGATCGCGCTCTCGAGAGGGATGTTGAAGCCGATGATAGGCTTCGATAACCTCCATTCCTGATTCCCAAAAGTCCCGAGGTCACCCAACCCCATGCTGCCGGCGATAGACAGGCCGGTTGTGTCCATGGTTGGAATATGCTCGTGTGTGGCCTGAAGTGCGGTGAGGTAAGGTGAGGTGAGGAGGGACGAGGGAATTACATCTGGTTTATATCGAGACAGAATCTGTCAAATACCTCAATGAAAAAAGAGGTCTGCAGATCGGGAAGTAATCCTTGACTAATCGTACCAGCGATTCAACACAACCTTAGAGACAGCGGAAAATATGTACTTAAATAAAATTCTCAAGTTTCCAAACTCTCTTTTCTTATTGTTGCAGCAATTAACACATCTCGACGAGGCGGGCCTCTTGACCCTTGAGGCTTATTATCCAATGGGATACTCAATTCTTCCTGATCCGTGGCCTTTGTCTGGCCAATCCTGTTCCGGCCTCAGCAGCGTAGTTGAGTCGCTTCGTCGTCGGCGCCGTTTTCTTTACCGCCTTCGCCACTCTCAGCCATCTTGGCCTCTGTCTCTCAGAGTTTCGTACGAAAATGTAATCCGAATCACTGGTTCCCCCGGGCCACAAACCGAGTTACCAAATATTGATTGCCAATCCATGACACTAGGCCAGTCATAGCCCTCCATATCTTCTAACACTCGGTGCACGGATTCGCGGAAGCCTTTATCTCACGGTGACGCGTAGGGGGGGAAAGAGGCTTTTCACGACTACCCATTCCTGGACAAGGAGGAAATGGTTATTTCAAGTGCATCTAAGTCTATCAAGCGGAGAAAGCCGATTGAAAAGAAAACAGCAAATCAATATGCAGCGGGTACCCTTTCCAAAAGACACGGAGCTCGTAACAGCTCCACAAACTAATAGAACGACGCTCTTCTGAAGTATCAAAGCCTCAGCGCTGCTGCTGCTTCTGCTGCTGCTGCTGCGTTCGGGACGTGGCGCACGTTGCCGAGGCTCCCGACCCCTGACATCCACCGGCCTGCCCCGCCGCCGATCCGGCCGCCGACACCTCGGCGATGGTGTTGAACGGCTCCTGCCAAGACGGCTCCGTCAACCACCTCCCGACGCCGTAGCTCCCGGCCGCCGTCGCCGACGTCTGGTCCCTTTCAAGCGAAGGGTCCTGCCACGCTCGGCTAACCGGGACGGTGCTGGACGAGGAAGGGGAGTTCTTTCCGTTGGATGCCTTGTTGCCGGAGCCTGCAGTGAGGAAGCTCAATGTTAGCCGGCCGTGGTTACAACGTTGAGAAACAGGAGGGATTTACTCTTGGCCTTCGTGGAAGACTGCTTGGAGGAATGCTTGGCCATTTTATCCTGTTTGTTTACGAAATTCTCTCTTTGGTGATTTGGTAAAGTTGAGTAATTCTGGGTTGATGTTGTCTTTGAGCCGGTGTTTATAGATGGGAATGCAAGTGTCGATGATGTGACTGTGGCTTTGAGAAGATGATATTTCAAGTGATATCTGCTGCGTTTCTTAAAACCATCATTTCACGAGAATTTCAGTCTCTCTTTATACTCACCTCTCGCCCGTGTTGATCTCCTTCCCCAACGACGGCTCAACCTATTGGTCATTCCCAACTCACGGCAATACTATTCACCAAAGATATGTTCAAAAGTTCGCCTAGACAAGGTCCTTGATGCGCCACCAGTAGCACATACTTTCTTGAGAGGTTGCTTGACGAATCCAGGAATCGCTTCTGTTACGCAACATCGCATGGCTTTTGCGCGGCCCCACGAGAAGTGTCAAGTGTGCGAGCACAAGTACGACTTGTGGTGTTGCACTGCACTAGTGGTTTTCGTGCTAGTTTTTCTTTTCTGACTTCCCCTCGCGCAGTCAAGATAGGATTGTCCAAGGATTGAAGATCAACATGTGAGTGGGATAACATTAGGAAATTTGAAATGAAAGCCAATGCTCTCTTGACGAACATTCCCCGCCATTGTCCAAGAGGCAAAATAGTCCGTCTACCCATCTCAGAGTAAACGGAGCTCTCCATGGGCGTGTGGCCCCCAGACTTTTTTTCAAAGCCACCAACTCATCTACAAACGTATCAACGTCTTTAGAGCATGAATGGCTTTCCCCTCGCTGGCACCTCTCGTGGGACTCTTACCACGTTGGAATGTCTCAATTTACCTCTACAAAAGGTTAACCCGGCACAGCACATCTCACGCGCCCTCAGTCGCCCGCAGCAAATACCGCAAAAGCCCCTGCACCGCGCCGACAACAACCCGCGGCCTATTCCACCACAAGAACACGGCCCCTGCAATCAACGGGCTGCACACCAGA